TATGCAATCAATCAATGGATTGTAGCAGGTGAGCCAGTCATGTCTGAGAACTATCCTACATTCAGAATCCAACAGGGCTAAAAACAGGGTTACTGGGGTGACATTGCTGGACATGAAGTGGATATTGACATCTACTGCTTGGGTTATAGTAAAGGTGGACATTCCATCAAAGAGCTGGAGTCAGATTGGTGAGACCGAGTATGGGGTAAAAGAGTGTTGATTAGCAAATTGACTATCTATAAAACAATGAGTGGAGCTGGAGTCCACTAAAGTATGAAGCCAAGGTGAATCTGGGTTTTCTAATGTGACATAGGGGGTTAAAGAATTCAGACTGGAAAGAGCAGACATGTTGAGATGAGCCTCCAAGTTTGTGCAACCAGAGTCAATGCAGCTCCCAGATTGTGTAGAGTCCTGGGAGCTGCTACCTATTTTTTTGTCTCAGGGGTAGGACCTGAGCCCAAGGCCAGTGTGGCTTCAGTGGTGGCTGCAGTGCGAGCCTTGACTCTTCTGGCTTTCTTGGGGCACTTCTCAGCAAAGTGGCCAGGGCCTCCACAGAACATGCAGAGATTGCCCTCAATACAATGCTTGTGTTCTTCTGGGGTGAGCTTCCCATCCTTCCTGAGTTTGTTAGGCTTGGGCTGGGATGAGTTGCTGTTATTGCCCAACTTTGATGAAGCTGGCTTGGGGGAAGTTCTGGAGTTATTGTTACTACTGCTGCCAGTCTTGGCTTTCTCCTGACTGGTCTTGGGCTGATTGTTGTTGCTGGAGCCACTGGACTTGTTTTTACTGGAGTTGGATGAGCCTTGGTGCCTGCTCACCCACTGGACTTCTTCCTTGTGCTCCCAATAGCACACATCTATCTCTTGGGCAAGGTGGTGGAGCTCATGAAGTGTCCAGGGTTTGCCAACCCAACAGACCTCATCTTTGATTTGGTCTGGGAGGCCAGAGTAGAAGTGATGGCATAGCACACCATCTCCATAGCCTTGGACTTGTGAAGCAAGCCGATTGAAGTCCACAATGTATTTATTGATGTGCTGACCATCCTTCATGTGTAAATGGTCAAGTTGGTTCTCAGCATCAGCAACTGGGTCATGAGGGCTGAAGGTGGTTTGCAGCTCTAGGACGAACTCCCTCCAGGAGTCCATCCAGAGAGGCTGGTCATTGGGGTTGTCAAGTCCAAGCAAGTCTGGCTCAAACCATTCAAGAGCCATGCCCTTGAGGTAAGATTGTGCAAAGATGACCTTGGCATGGTTGGTCCTGAAAGCCTGAGGACAGTCTTGGAAATTCAGCTCACACTGAATGAAGAAGGCATGAAGTTTCTTGGGGTTGGTGCCATCGAATGTATTGGGCTTGCACAGCTTAGTCCTGCTTGAGGACTTGGGGCTAGTGTGGGTATTGTGAGCCAATAGTTTGATGGCCTTTGTGAGACTGTTGAAGACTGCAACTCCGGGTTTGGTGTCCAGGTCTGGGAAGTCCATTTTGTCCTCCAGGTCATTCTCATCAGGATTATTGTTACTGGTGTCACACACCAAAGGTGTTTGGTGAGGTGGACATGGATACAGCTGATGAATGGAGATGAAGACCATAGCCCTCATGTGAAGAAGGACAGCCAGGAATGTCGGCAGTCATCCCTCGCACAAGAACAAGTCATCAGTGCCAGAGAAAAAGAAAGGGAGCAAGTTAAGTGCTGGCTAAAATTCTTAAGCACCTGTGTACAGCATTCCAGTTTTTGACATATCTCCGCCATTTCTGCAGATACCAAGACCATTCCCACACTCGCTTGTAGTGCTCAGCCACACAATCTTACCTTCCAAAATTGGAAAGGATTTGCACACTCCACACATTTCTACAGCACTCCCTCTAAAAGACACTCATTTCACTAAATTCTTCTGATATGGCTGCCTCTACATCAATCATTTCACTTGTCCCCTTTGCTAGGGACCATGGCTACATATACCTACCAGGAGTTCCTACCAGCTTCTGTCCTGAAGCATCCTGGTACATCCCACCCTCATCTGTGCCCTCTCAGCCCATCCAGCTTGGACAGCATGTTCTTTTTGTCAGTATGACCTCTAGGAAGATGTTCTCTGGTTGCCTCAGGTCTGTCATTCACTTGGAAAGGTCTTATGTGGTCATTTCAGTCTCTCCAGTTCAAGAAGCATATGGATCCTTCCTCCCTGCTCCCTGCAATGTCTTCATACCAGTCTCATCCATCATTCTTCCAAAATTGTGACAGCTACAGTATAATCTACTGTTCCCCACTCTCCCTGATCACATCCATGATGAGTATGATGCACATCTTGCCTCCTTGTTGCAAGATACAGCAGAAGACACTCCCCATTCATCCTCTCTTCCAACAGGGCCTTGTTCATGAGCTTTTTATTTGCTTCACTGAGAGGATGGTTTGGGGGGGAAAGTTGTGATCCCCTATGCTCCTGTCACCCCACAGACCCCCAAAGCTTGACCCCTGTTGACATCTGACTCACCCTGTCCACTTTTGGATGTACTATATTGGCATCAGATCAGCACTGCCTCTCTGTCATCCCACCTTGGCCTAGAAGCAATCTCTTCGAGATGTGACATGCACAGCCTCCCCCTAATGCAATTCCAGTGTGCTTTCCTAGTTCCTGACATTACTTGACTCATACTTTGACATTCTGACTGTCTTTGACTCACCTATTGCCAATGCTTACCAATCTTTTGACTTTGCTTACTGATTCTTTGCTTTTTGGCTTGCTTATCCTTACCAATGCTTACCAATGCTTTCCAAGACAATTACCCATCACTTACATTCCTTACTCATCAGTTACCAATCACTTACCAAGTATTTGCACCTTGTTTTCCAAAGGCAACACCCCTGTACTGTATATAAATCACTGTACTTAGATAGCTGAAAAAAAGAAGAAGGAAGAAGACATCAGAGACCCCCTCTTGCTTGCATTTTTATCATCACTCAGTAAATCCTCCATCAGCTTCAATAGTTGAGACTTTATTAAGGGTCTAAATATCATCTACTTTGCTTATTATTGTCTATCATCAATCTACTTTGCTCCAAGTCCTCCCTGAGCTCAATGCAGCTCAGAGCATTGAATTTAGTCATCATCCATCCTTCTGTAGGCTGACAGCAGTCTACCCTATTGCATTCTCTTGCATTCCTGCTCCTTCTTCATCAGGAGCACCCCCAACCCTCAGCACTTGTCTTTGAGTGTTATAGGTCATAAAAACCCTCCCAAAGAACAGGTTCTACCATCTAGGTACCACATAGGCACACCACCACTCACTCTTTTTGTCTTTTGTGTTGGTTTTGGTTGGTTTTTACCACTGAACCACACTTTGACTCACATTGGGCCACCAACCAATTCTGGAGGTACCTCTGCCTCTGCTCTGAGGACTCACCTCTCATAAATAGTGCAGGGTGAGGGAAAAAATATGCAACTTTGGGCACACTGGCATGAATTTTCTTGGGGTCCTTGTTGATGTCAGTAAGCACAGCATGGCACAAGTAAAGGTGAGTGGGGAAGGCAGGATCATCAAAATCCTGCAGCAAGTCAACATTTGGAGTGGTGGAAGTCTTAGCATTCTTTGAGCCTGCAGAATTATCTGAGTAGATGGTTATAAGCATAAAGATCTTGATCAGTAATGAAACACCCACAAGGGCTGCTGTGATGTTTAGCCCTATCTGTTCTGACAACTCCTGAGGCAGAGCTGGGCATGCTGGAACTTGTGGTATTCAAGGCTGTTGAGCTGGAGGTTGTGGGAGTCAATGCTGTGGGATTTGGTTCTGGCCAGGGCACTGCAAATTGCTCAAGACCCACTACTGGAGCCTCATGGGTGTAGACATGCATAGGATTGCCAGGGTAATACCACCTAGCATTCCACTTGAGCATTTGACCAACCTTGAATTCATCTGGGGTAGTGATAATGCCTTCTGGGCATGTAATGTCAACCTTGTGATGTATCTTCATATCCTTTGGCACTAACTCCAGCTTCCAGACTAGCCATATGGGGATGTGTGCTTCAAAAAGTTGCTTGCAGACATCAGGATCTGTGGTGAATGCACCCATCCAATGCTGTTTTGCATTAAAAAATGGGCCAGAATGGGGGGTAATTTTGATTTCAAGGGAGTCTACCATAGTGTAAATATCCAGACAAAGACATTGAAAGAGCACAACTAGGACCACCATATCATGGAAGGTGAATGAGAGTTGCTTCAGAATTGTCAATTGTTGAAATATCAGACAATGAGATATCATACCTTCAGATGCATGAGAGACCTTTGATGTTGCCTAATCCAAATGTGCACCTGGAGAGGTCCCTCATCATCAGGGTTCTTTGGTGGCCAGTCCTTTGCCCATTCTTCTAGTCATTTATACATGATCTCCAGATGCTTCCACTTGTCCAAATGAACCCTACCAACCCTGAACACTGATCCCCTCTCCAAGGCAAAATCTTCTGGCACACTCCTGATGTTCCACCACATCCAAGACCACATTGGGTCATCCCAATAGACAGCATGTTGAGGGATACATCTGGCCCACATATAATGCTTGGCATGTAATTGAGGCCACTGGAAACAGTCAAGGTGGCCAAATCAGCCATCATGGCAGAGTGTGATTGTCTTCCCCTCAAAGATAAACAGTTTTGGAATGAAGTTGGCATTAGGAGAGGTGATCCAGTGGTCATTATATTTCACAAGAGCACATGTGTTGAAGGCACCATAATTCCCTGAAAGAGAATGCATTGGTTCTGAGCCACATTAGGTTAAATAATAGAGTGCACCATCACCCAGTTGGGTTTCTGCTATGACCTGTTGAGCACATTCTTGAGGCACATCAATCCTATAAATGAAATAAGAACTGAAATATGTAGCATCTTAGTACAGATTCCACCACAGGGTCAATAAAAACATACCCAGGAGATAAGAGGCATTTGAAGGGGGGAGGAGTTAAATAAAGTAATACAGCTATAGTAGAACTGTTGAAGCATGCCCTGGCACTGAATCAGAGTGCCAGCCCATGAAATAGAGTCACATCATCCAATGTTCCTCTGACAACACTAGCATTGCTGATATCTGTGAGACCATCAAGGGGGAGATAAATGAGAAAAAAAATGGATCACACACCTACACAGTATATAGAACCTTGCACCTGGTGAATATTTCATGCACAGATGCTGGGAACACCATCATCTATTAAGGCCAATGGTTTTCTGTGGCTACCCCCAGCTCTGCCTTCTTCTTCTGAGACAAGACTCCATTCACTTTGCCCACTGGTGAGTTCAAGGCTTGTGTCTCCCCCTTCCTTCACTGATCTCTGATCATCTTTGTATAGGGACACTAATCAGGATTCTCTTGCTTGCTTTCTTACTTTCCTGGTTAACACAGCATTCCCTCCATTATCTATTAAGACCGATGGTTTGTCATGGCTACCCCCAGTTCTGTCTTCTCCTTCCAATACTAGAGTCTTTTCAATTTGCCCTCTGGTGAGTTCAAGGCTTGCATCTCCCTTCCTTTGCTGATCTCCAACCATCTTTGTGTGGAGACACTAATCAGGTTTCTCATGTTTGCATTCTTACTTTCATGGTCAATGGTATGTTCTCTTTGACATCTATTACACCAGGGGAATGTTTGGTGTGTCCCCTACCAAGTGCCAGGGGCTTGGTGCCCTTGGCAGCTCTCAAAGGCTTGGAGCCTTTGAAAGTCATCTTGGTATGGATATACCCTAAACTCTACCTTTTCATTTCCTGAGGATATTCCATTCATTTTACAAGCCAGTGAGTTTGAGGCTCACTTGTTTCCTCAGTTCCTGATCCCTGATTACTCCTGTGTAGGGATGCTAATTAAGTCTTCCCACCCTTCCTAGTGTTGTCTCTGCTTCCATCATGGTGAGCTGTGAAGGAGTAAGTGTTTGGCCTTTGCATCTATTCTGTTAGTTATATTCTTTACCTGGGGTGTACAATGATCCATTTAACAAGAGTGCAATTACAACATTCCTACAGACCATGCATGCAGGATTCACTGAAGCAGATCCTACATGTTATTCCATGGCTACTAACAAATGGGGAAGAAGAACTTTCTGTTGGAGATCTGCCTATCAACTTACAATATTGTCTGTGTTTCTCTCCCTCTCCCTTCCATTCCTCATCTCACTATGTGCCAGCCACCCTCACTCAATAATGAGCAAAGCTTAAGTGCCATCAACCTAAGTGTGTGATTTTCTAACCACTGTCTGATAGCTAACATTCAAGGGTTATGCAGGTGCTCTAATCACAATTGTTTTGCATCTTGAACTGAGCACAGTCAATGCTGCAACCCTTGCTGACATCTTACTTTCAAGATCCCAGCATGAAGGTGGGCAATTTTCCAAGACTTTTGTCCTTGACAGTAATCATCTCCCATAACACCATCATTTCTGTCAAGTTTGGCTCCCTCAACATCATCATCCTGTCAGGAGGGTACTGCTGCAGTCCCTTTCCTCCCCTTTTCCCCCATCAGTGTGGAGGTCCCCACTCCCCCCATATCAATACATCTAATGTCTGCTGACACCCCTGACTCCACCACTGTTCTTGTCCACAGACATCTGGACATGAAACCAAGGGATCCATCCCTGGCAGATGAGTGTTGGCATACTTTGACCAGTGTATTTTTCACAGTGACCCTGTAAATATACCTGCTTTGTATAAAGTTTTGCTTTTTATATTTTATTTTTATTTTGGCTCAAGTGTAACCAATAACCTGACCACTAATGGATTTTCCACCTGGTGCAGGTAAGTGGAGATATCGCAAATACAAAGGTTTCAAGATCAGGATCTTTTTATCATGTATGTGTTATTACTGACCTGCATCTGTTCTTGCCTCAACTGTTTGGCACAGTTGTCCACAAGAGTTGAGGGCTTGGCACCCTTGGGGGTTTGGAGCCTTTGAAGGTTCTTGTCAATTGCATCTATGAGACCCTTGGGAACAGAGTCATGGCATTGTTTGATCCTTTCCATTCACCATTGTCACATGCATATCATATTACTAAGTGGTATGTATTCCCTCTGTCTTGGTTATTGCATCTTCCTTACTGTTCTCTTGCTGTTCTGGCATTTACCAATGTTTCATTGTTGATTGCACACATAAAACCCACATGAACAGAGCTCATCTTCTGAGGCTCTCCATTTACCACTGTTGCACACATATCTCATTACCAAGTGGTACATACTCCCTTCATTTTGGGCATTCAGGGCTTTGAGTCTCTGCTTATTAGTGATGTATTTCCTCCATTTTCATTATTACATGTTCCATTCAGCTCCTTCCCCTGTCTCAGCATTCACCATGGTTCATTCTTGGGGGATTTGTCCCTTCAAGGGATTGTTGTGCAGGTTTGTTTTCAATCACATGTATGAGGCCCATGTGAACAGAGTCCAAGTTGTTCAAGTCTCTGCTCACTACTGTTGCATGCATGTGTTATTACAAAGTGGTACATACTCTCTGTATTGGTTGTTGCATATTCCTTATGGTTTGTTCCACCTGGTATTTATCACAATATGGCATGACACCAACCTTCTTTTCTGATATTTTCCTTTTGTTCCACTCACTACTCATGTAATAACTGCAAGTATTATTGTTCCATTGCAATGAGCTGCCATTTTACTGAATAACTCCATGGGTTTTTTTATGTCAGGTAAGGCATAGCTTTACTTAAATACCTCATCTGACTGCTTTTCCCCTCCTCCTCCATCATTATCAACATGCCTCATGTGCTGAAAAGTGTTGACCAAGTCATGGGCAACTCTACAGATTTGCACACCCAGGTACTTTGAAACCACAAAATCCCCACCACCAAGATGGCCCCTCCACCAGAGGTAAGCTATCTTGTCACTGTTGATCCCACCTGACCCCCTGCCTTCACAGATCAAAAAAGACAAGCCCAGGCCCTGGCATGCAGTGCAACTGCCTGAAGGATGGGAAGAACATATGTTTGGTCTCTGTGACAGGAGGAGATCACTCACACCTAGTGTCTCTGTGTCCTCCCAAAATTCTACTGCCCTTATCTTGCAGGAAGACCAGGTTGAGGGCACTCCAATGGATGAGGATGCTGGTGAGGCTGAGGCTGGGGAGGTTGAGGTCAATGTTCCAGTGGATGCTGGTGAGGCTGAGGCTGGGGAGGTTGAGGTCAATGTTCCAGCTGATGATGGCAGTCAATGTCCTGATGATGGGGCTAGTCAACTTCCAGACAATGAAGGTTCATTTTTTTTTGAATATTTTTCTCATTCTCTCACAGTTCTGTAGATGTTGCATTGTTATATCCTTGACTCCAGGGTTTGGTGCCCCCCCCCTTCTCCCATATGACTGTGGGTTCAGTGTGCAATGGTCTAAAGCTAGGTGCTTTGGATCCTCATGAGAGTCACCAAGTATCCCATGTCATTTTCACTTTTTTTTCTAGACACTTCATTATCCTTTGATGTGTTTCATGTCACACTGCAATCCATTCTCTTCCAATATTGACATGTTCATAGCAGATGAGGACGGTTCTGAATCATCACTTCCTCCATCTTCACCACCAGCTGAAGACTCCAGTTCCAATGCTGGGGATGAGTTTCCCCCATGTTGTCCTGGTTGCTGTGTGGAACACAAACCTAAAAGCAAGGGAAAAAGTAGGGCTATGGATGTTGACAACAGTGATATAGTGAGTCAGGATGATCATGCACACACCCAGAACATGAAATTTAAGAAGACTGGGAACTTGTCCCATGCCACTCTCAATGAGGTACATGACTTTGTGACTGAAGTCAAGGCAAAAGCAGAAGAACTTGGATGTCAACACAGCAAGTCTCCTCATGACATCCTTGTCACTGCTGGGCTCAGTGTCAAACCATCTCACATGAAGCTCAATGAGGCCAATCTCTTCCACTCATGGTATTAGGCCACCCAACTGAAACCTGATGGTGGTATGCATGCCCTTGTCACAGAATTTCTTTTATAACATTCTTCCCAGCCAACCAAAACATGGTCAACAATATCATTATGGCAGAGTACAACCAATCATGAAAGATATTGATATCCCCAAAGATGACACTGCAGCAAGAAAGGAGAAGTTGAAGGCCATTTATGAGTGGAGTGAGAGCTCCTCAGCAGTGCCTGCTAACAAATCAGTCAAGTCCATTGCAGTCAGAGTCCACAATGTGAAGACACAGTTCTCCAGATTGGTGAGTGGTTGTAAGTGGGTGGGTGGGTGGCAGATCTTACCATTGAGCAGGCTGAAGCATGGTCAACTCTTGAAGATATTGAAATTGCTGGAGTTGTGATGTATGTTGGACAAGACCCTGCAGGACACCAGACCTCTGGCATATTTTGTGGCTCTGATATCATACAAAAGTACATCAATGAGTATGCCATTGATGTTTGGGGACTTATGGACAAGTACACTGCAATATTTAAGTAAGTGATGTTACACATATCTTACTTGGACTCATTGCAATTAGGTGTCTCAGGGATGGTAATGGTACTGAGGCTGGATTATTAGGGACAAGTGCTTCTGCCAGTTTGGCTGTGGCATTGGAGTTGCATTGTTGAATGAAGGAGATACCAAGAGATCACAACTGCTGGGTATTTGGATCTATGATGAAGGAGAAGTTGATAATGGCACTCAAAGATCTTCACAGTAGGTATTTCTGGTATTCTGTATATTCTCTTTTAATTGACTTTCCATAAGTGATGTGTGGGGTTGAAGTTGGTGATCCCCAGAAAATCATTTGGCAGTGGCTTCTTGAGTTTGTTAGGAAGAACTCTCTCATCATAATCAACTGGCCACTTGGGGTGCCTCCACTGGGCCCTGGTTTTGAGTACAAGAAACTCAAAGCTGATGTTCTCTGCCAACTTGTGGTACCTTATCTATGGAGAAAACTAGGCTCAATGTATGACAGACAATCTGATGACAACAATGACAAGAAAAATGATCATCTGGATGGTGTGCCAGAGGTTGAAATTAAACCCTGGAATGAAGGTATTGCATACTCTTTTTGTCTGACTGATTGCTGATCATTTTTGCAGATGTCATGAGCATAAGGGATGCACACCCATTAAAGGGAGAGATTGCACTGGTCAAGGCTCCTGATGGCATGGTTTTGTGCAAGGTGTCTGACAATCCTGAGTGGCAGAAGTCTCACAAAGAAGAGGATCCAGGTATGGTGGCACCTCATGCACAGAGTGGAATCCCATTTCCATCGTGCAAGTGGGCTTGTGTGGAGGTGATGGATAATGATACAGTTCTTCATGAGGTGAGTCAATCCACTCAACCTCTGGTGTCCACTAATGTTCCCCAAGGCTTCACACTCTGACTGCCAAATGCCCCTGCATGATGAAGGCAGGGATGCATGCTCCATCTCTGGCAACCACAGTGTAGTGATGTATCCTGCTGCATTTTGGTCAAAACTAACAGGTGACATGTACAGGATGCACTTTGTGACCCACCAGCATGCACAAGCTGTGAGAACACTCAAGAGCCTGGTTGATCTGAGTGCCCCTTGCCAGCTTGGCACTATGGGGTGAGGTCCAGATATATCAGTTGATTAAAAGACTAATAGAGGACTGCACAGGATCTGCATCATGATGCTGCTCCAAGCCATTCACACCCACAGGACCCTGGCCCTTCTCAGCAGTTTCCACCATCTCAGCATTATGAGGTGAGTATCCCAGGCATTTTGCTTCTTGAAGTAGACCAATAGGATGTCCTGCAGGACCCTTGTTATGACCATGCCAATCATAATGATCCTGGCCCCTCCAATGTTCCCTACAATGTTCATGGCTTGGTCCTTCATTGTCACATTTTGTTTAGCTTCTCTATAGGTATTACCACCTGCCCACTGCAGTTCTGGGCATTTCCCTCTGCCCTGTCAGACATATTGCATACCATCTCACCCTGACCATCATGTTTACCATGATGCTCCATATATCTCTGACTACTACCCCCCAGCCCAGCCCACAGCACAGCAATGGGTTGACAGAGGTAGTGCTGCACAGTATGAGGATGAATGTCCTGAGGATTACTTAGATTATTAATCTCCTCAGTATTTTTTTTTGAAATATATGTTTATTTTTCCATGATAGGGTGAGCAGTGAGTGAATCAAATCTCAGTTCTCTGTCATTTTGAATGCAAGACCATTTGTGTCTACTTGACTGTTATTTTGTTACCCCCTGTGGCCACACTGCCATAGCACTGCTCACTTGATCTACCAATGAATTTTCTACTGATTGACATTCTACAGGGAAGATGCATATACCCAAAATACTGTACTCTTGTTTGAAGAGTTTGAGGTGCAGAGAGTTGGGTCAGAGAACATTTGAGGTGAAGCTTGGAGGTCACACCTACAGATAAAGGAGCCTCCAGCAATGAGGAGGGGATATGGTGACATTAAGCAAGTGTTGATGTGGTGATCACTGACTAACAACTCTCCTAGTGTCAACTGTGTCCAATGGCCAGGGGCTCTGGTGAGTTCTGTTGCCTGGTTGCATGTGTACCTTATCTATATTTTATTACTGTGATCAACTGTTTTTCCCTGGTGAGTTGAGGGAACTGAGTGGAATTCAAATGGAATTGACATGATTATCTTGGAATACTGGGTAGATGGCCTGAATTTTAAGGGGACTAAAAACACTCAAAACTCAATTTCTTTCAAGTTTGACAGATAGGGTTTTTCCACATGGTGATGGGGGTGGCAAGGTTGGAAAGCAAGGATTGAAAGTGGTGTTGAGGCAAGGTTAGCAGTACCTCAGACTAAAGAGACTTGGGGGGCAACATCTTTTGCTTACTAATCAGGTGTTGTTATCATCATCAGGATACCACAGTTCTATGTTACATGCAAGCACTGTAGAGCTGCAGAGGGTGACTTCTGAATTTATTTTGGCCTTGTCTGGGTTCTCTCATTGACTTTACCCCATAAACATTGTTGTTCAATGCTTTTTCTAAGAGCCTATTTTTGTGTTGAGAATTAATCTACCTGCATTGCTACTAAAACAGGTCTATCTTTTATCAGGTCCACCATGCTGTTATCATTTGCAGTTGCACAATTTTCCCCCATTTAATCTGCTACATTGGCCCTTCACTGTGCTCTGTGAGTTAGTATAAAAAGTAGATAATGTTACCTGTGCAATAAGTCAATACAGACCTGCATGGTGGATCTGTTTGTCTTGAAGCTGCCACAAAATTGATTTGAGAGCATTTTGGTGTTCTGACATATAGTACATGGACATCCTACTGGCCTCTATGGAGAGGGGTGGAATCTCCAACTGGCCTTCAGGGGGAGGGTGGGATATCCCACAGTAGCCTCTGAAGCTATCATGGGACATCCCACTGTCTATAGAAAGGGGGTCGGGACATCCCATGGAAGCCTCCAAAGCTATCATTGGGCATCCCACTGGCCTCCAGAGAGGAGGGTGGGATGTCCCACAGTAGCCTCCAAAGCTATCATGGGACATCCCACTGGCCTCCAGAGAGGGGGATGGGATGTCCCACAGTAGCCTCTGAAGCTATCATGGGACATCCCATTGTCCTATGGAAAGGGGGCTGGGATGTCCCACAGTAGCTTCTGAAGCTATCATGGGACATCCCACTAGTCTCCAGAGTGGGGGGTGGGATGACCCACAGTAGCCTCTGAAGCTATCATGGGACATCCCACTGTCTATGGAAAGGGGGCTGGGATGTCCCACAGTAGCCTCTGAAGTTATCATGGGACATCCCACTGGCCTCCAAAAATGGGGGGTGGGATGTCCCATCATTGCCTCTTGGTTGTTCTGCATAGATGACCTTGATGAATATGTGACTAAAGGTGGGATTGAACCAGCAGTCTCCTAGGTGTTGACCTTGTGGTCAAATTACTGAGCTATATGGTTTGTGTACTAATGTCAGTTGCTTGGGGGTTAGATCAGCACTTTGGGAATAATTATCCATGAAGAGTAATACACAGAATGCACCATCTCCAACAGACTTCAGTAGTCTTTAGCAACACAAGTCCACCCTTCCTTCAAGAATCAACAAAGTTCAGTTTTCTGCCCATCCTGGCTGGATTGGTATTCGAAGCACATGGTGGTCCACTGGAGGGCCTTACAGCCCAGGGTAATAATGGGACATTGGGCCCCACAGCAATCAGATTACATAACCCCTTTGGACAGTGGGGTTCTCACATGCTTGTGCCCCTCAATAGTGTCATGTATTGTGCTACAATCTATTCCTTGGCTGGGAAGGTCTTCCACTCATCCTTATTGAATGCATTTAGTATGATCTTATTAATGTGTACTCCTTCTATAAGCAATGGAACTTACTCATGGGACAGTGATGAATCCATTAAAATTTATCACAGTGATGCAAGGCTCACTTCCATAAGTATTGTATGATTCTGGAGATGACACCTCACAATCACACTGACTTCCCACTTCAAATCTGTGCATAATAAGTGTACCAAATGGTTTTGGAAAGTCAGTGGTTGCCACATCTGCACACTGCAAATAGCCCTGGGACATGGCCAGATGTCCCTGGGATGACCTGGTCTGAGTAGCTTTTAGCTTGGATGATTTGTAGAAAAACTTCAGCCTAAATGCTTATGAAAATTGGTTACCTGAAGTGTGAAATATGCACATTTATTTCTTGTGGCCACACTGCCACACCACCATGCCCATTTGACTGCATCATTACCTTTTGCAGCCACACTGCCACACCACTGTGCCCATTTGACCACATCATTCCCTTTTGCAGCTGCACTGCCACACCACTGCTGTCAAGTTTGTGATGTCCAGGTTGAGGCCAGACCAGAGACTGAAGCTGGCACAAGGCCAAGGGGTCAGGGTCAGGGGAAGAGGTGGAGGTACAGGTGGACTGGTTGGACTTAGCAACTGATGGTGCAGTGCTATTCCCTTGCATGGGTTGCAGTCCAAGTCCAAGGCTGAGGCAGGGGTTTCAGGTAGAACTTAATTGATTTCAGACTGAGGAAGTACAAGCTGAGTATCTACAGGTTTATATACTAGAGACAGACTATAGTATGGAGACTGGTAATGCCAGTCTCACAAGGATTGCTAAGACTATTGGTAAGACTAGTATTAGTAATGTATGACAAAGGCAACTGAAGACTGGGACAGAGAACAAGGGCAGACCAGAGACAAGGCCAGGTCAGGCTCAACCAAAATGACATGCACTGCAAAGCAGTGTTAACCATGGTAGGCCATTTGGAGGTAGGTGTTTGATGAGACTGAGGCCAGACCAAACAAGTGTGAGGCCAAGTCCAGCCAGGGTCAAGACACAGTTATGACAACTGTGCTCATTCAACTGCATTTTTATGTGTTGCAGCCATGCAACTTCATCACCATGCCCACTCAACTGCATCATTGTTACCTTGTGCAGCTACACAACTATATTATTGTATAATACATAGATGATATTTCCTGTGTAAACTCAGTACAAACCCTGCACAATATGTCTACTCTCTGCTGCCCTTGCCACTTCCCTATGCATCAGTTGTGATAATGGCAGGTGTGATAGGGGAAAATAAAATAAAAAGCAGACAACTTTTTGATGTTTCTATCTGTCTGCTGTGTCCTCTTCAAGGTGCCATGTGTCCTACAACATATTCAAAACTCATAAGCTGTGGTGGGGTACTTTGGGTACAGTGACACAATCTCAGCTGGAAAATTATTTCCTAGGCATTCTGGTGCTAAGACTGTAATTGTATATGGTATAGTAGTTCCACTGAGTATATTGGCACATAATTAGATCTGCTATCAAGTATCCAAGAGTCCCACAATAACTGGAAAGGATGTCAGGCTTAAACAAAAAAGTGTCTGCATTTTTGATACACCTGACATGGGCACTCAAAAAAGGCACCCCCTTGGAGGGGGCCTCTGTACCTATAACATACCAATACCTCATTATATCAGGTGGACTCCTTGAGGTGTTATGCCATAATCTCCTCCTTCTGGTATTTAGGAGTTTTGTCAAGTTCCAGGGTATATATTGCCAATGTAACTATCTAGAAAGGTCTGGAATACTCAGAAGAAGCCCCTACAACATCCCCAAGTCCATACCTGCAGGGGGGAATACTGGAAAAGTGAAATAGTCACTCAGGAAGCATGTGAAAAGGCACAAAAAATTATGCAGATTCTCAAAACATATCAAAAACATGTAATAGTACACTGCACCACTCAGAGGAAGGCAGACTTGAGATTTTCACATCAGGTGTCAAGTCCAGGGTGGCCAGGTTCAAGACTGGACTGGAGACTGGTGAGAGTGCAAGGCCAAGCAGTTGGGAACAGTGCTGGGGGCAGCAGTTGGATGGTGGACTGACTGGAATTAGTGACTGGAGACACAGTGCTATTCCCTTGCATTGGTTGCAGTCTGAGTCCAAGGCCAAGATGAGAGTTCAGAAAAGACTTATTTGATTTCAGACTGAAGAAGTACAGGCCAAGTATCTACAAGCTTATATACTAGAGGTAGCTATAGTTCAGAGACTGGTAATGATGGTCTCACAATGATTGATAATATGATTGGTATGAACAGTATTACTAAGGCATGACAAAGGTGACCAGAGACTGAGACAGAGATGAGGGTGGACCAGGGATGAGGCTGGGTTGGGTTCAACCAAAATGACACTTCATAGTAGCACTGCTTTGCAGTGCCACCTGCTGTGAGGAATCTGCATTCCCTAGACATGTAAGCCCCTATCATCAACCATTCTGTGGCCATCATTACATCTCCATACCACTTGCACCCACCACTGTTCACATGCTACCTTCCCACCTTCTTTACTACCTTCCCACACCCTTCCCATACCCTTGCTCCCTCTTGCACACTGCTATACTTGTGGCTGCTTTGTTCTGGTTGCTTCCTTTCCTTCAGACTCTTTTCTTTTACCATGGTCCCTGCTTCTTTACTGCTAGTAGTATACCCTCAGCCCCTGTTGTGGCCTGTCCTGTGTGTGCATGCCATCATGCACCTTTCTTTTACTCATGCCTTGTCTTACTTAGGTTCCAGGTTTTCCAGCACTATAAAGCCCTGTACTTAGGTACAGAATGATACCTTTTGGCACTCAGAAGGCCACTACAAGTTTCCTTTTCACTTTGTCTATGCTGCCTGCCTTGCAAACCACTGTGCATGAACTACATATACCACTTGTGTTGGCAGTACTACACTGCAGAGCACACTGTGAATGCTGCAAAACACTACTGCTACAAAGTGCTGAGTCCTGCCTTCTAGTTTCAACAGTCCAGAATCCCTTGAGACAGGCAATTCATTCCCTTCATTTTATTGCTGTTATCTAAACCAACTAGCTCATGTTATGCAGCTACTTGGATTTTCCTTACACCACACTAGACCAACTGGGGGTAGAGGTTTGGAAAGGCTGAGGCCAGACTGGGTGAGTGTGAGGCTGAGTCTGGCTGGGGTTGAGACATGGCTATGACATCAGGTATGACTTCATACTATATAGCAACATAATTTGACTACTTGAGTCACCATTCCCTGTCCTTCTGATGCATCAATTATGATAATTGCAGCATAACTGTGATGCAAGACTGCCTAACTCCCTCCTACCAGTAGTGATGCATCAATGTACTAGTAATGCAGATCTGAGATCTCCCTTCCCCCTTAGGAGTTCCTTCTCCACAAATCCCCACAGTTTATTTTCATTACTCCTCTGCATTTTATGTAATTACATAAGCATAAAAACACTGTAGGGAGTTGTATACTCCCTGAGGCTGAAGCAGGATACCATCAGTTAATCCCACCACCACTAAGGCAAGCCCCTATCAGTGTTACCTGGTTTGTTGCCTTTGGAATTCTCTCTGCTTGTCACCACATGTATTCTCCTATCCCCTGTCAGCTTCAGAATTTCCCCTGGCCATCAACATGC